GGGGCATCTAGGTCAAGTGGCATAACAAAGCTTATTAAGAAAATGTTCTGCATCCTACTTTGGTGAGTGGCATCTGGGGTCTTAAAAGCTTGCAAGCAGCCATCTAAGATGCATCAATTGGTTCCAACCACCTGGAGTAAAGGAGAATGAAAAACACCAAAGATACAAGGCAAGTATTAGCCCAAAAGACAGAAAGGGCCACATAAACCAGAGACTTCATCAGCCTGAGACCAAAAGAACTAGATGGTACCTGGCTACCACCAATGACCGCCCTGACAGGGAACACAACAGAGTCCCGATGGAGCAAGAGAAAGGTGGGGTGCAGAACTCATATTCTAGTAAGAAGACCAGACTTAATGGTCTGACTGAGACTGGAGGAACCCCGGAAAGCATGACCCTCAGATTCTCTATCCGCCCAGAACTAAAGCAATTTCCGAGGCCAACTCTTCAGACAGGGATTGGACTGGACTGTGAGACATAAAGTGATACTCATGAGGAGTGTGCCTCTTAGCTCAAGTAGATACAAGAGACTAAACGGGCAGCTTCTGTCCAGAGATGAGATGGGAAGACAGAGAGGGTTAGGAGCTGGTTGAATGGACATGGGGAATCAGGAGAGGAAAGGAGGAGTGTGCTGTCACAGTATGGGGAGAGCAACTGGGTCACATAACAAAGTAAGTATAAATTTTTGTATGGGTGACTAACTTGAAATGTAAACTTCATTTAAACTACAACAATAAAAAAAAAGAAAGAAAGAAAAACTGTGGTGGGTAAAGATGGGGCTATTTTAGAAAAGCTGGTCAGGAAATCCTGAGAGGAGGCATTTAAGAGCACGTCTGAATGGCAGGAGGAAGGAAAAAGTACAGTGATCTGGGGAAGTCCCTTCCAGCCATCAGGAACCACAGTTCCAGACTCTGAGATGTGCTTAACGTTTAAACAATAGTCAGATGGCCACTAGTGAGGGAGGCAGACAGTGATAACAGTTTGCTCGGAAGAGAGAGTGAAGGGAAAGATCAGACAAGCTTTGTAACTATGGGAAGGAGTTGAGATTTTAATTACAGTGTGATGTGAAGCCGTTGGAGGGTCCTGAGGAGGGGTTACCATGACCTGGATAATGGGATATGTGTGTGGAGTGTCAGAGTAGAAGTAGGGATACTTGTTTGGAGGCTGTTGTAGGTAATCCAAGTGAGAGACCATGATGGCTTGGTTGGTCCTAAGAGGTCAGATTCTGTATATATTTTAAAGACTTACATGATGGAACTTGCTGATAAACTGCGTATGGGGTATGAAAGAAAGAAAGCAAGAGATCAATGATGATTCCTAACCTTTTGGTAAGAGTAAGTAGTGATTGATGGTGTTATTTCCTCATATGGAGAAAGTGGAAAGGGAAGTTTTTGGGGAATCAAGAATTCATTTTTGGACATGTCCAGTTTGAGATGCTTATTAGACATCCTAATGGAGATATGGACAAGTTGGGTATATGAATCTGGAGCTCAGGAAAGAGGTTAGATTGGAGGAATAAAGTAGGGCTATATGAGTGTAATGGGTGGTATTTAAGGTTATAAAATTGGATGCGATGGAGATAGTATTAGAGAAGAGGGCTGAAGACTAGTTCTAGGGCATAATTTCTTAATGCAACTATCTCATTCAACCTTGTATTATGGTTATTTGTGAACTTGTCATATCTCCCCTATTATATTTTAAATTTATTAAAGCTTGGAATTAATTCTCTATTTTTTAATGCCTCAAAAAGGTGAAGCCAGCTGAGCTAACCACTGGGACCCATGAACTGTGAGGGGCTTTGTACAATTATGTCCAGATTTCACGGTGTCCAGGCCAAAACTCACATATAAAGGTTTTGAAACCTCAACTGAAAATCAAATATGTCTTTTAAAAGTTATTTGCAGTTTCTTTAAAAAAAAAAAACTGTTAAAGATAAAGAGTTCAAAATTTCTCTAGGGCAGACTGTACTTTTATTTGGGGAAAATAGCCAAATGGCTCTTTAATTATTTGTAAATGAGAGGCTTTAAGAAAATTTATAGATATTTACGTACATTTTATACTATACCCCCAATGGTAAGGTGCATTAAAAATCATTTAACAATTGACATTTGGGTAAAGCTTTTCTAGTTTACAAAGCAATTTTACACATGATTGTTTCATTTAGTCTTCACATCCTCTGAGATAAGTAATAATAGAAATTCTTAGCGTTTATCTAGCATTTTATAGTGTGTAAACTGCTTCCATTTATATACATTATCTCAGTTGATGCTCCTATTCCTATTACTCATCTTCATGAAATTCACACTTCGGCAAAAGCTACAGTTCTCTGCACATGACATACAGGTTCACATTTTCAAGTCTATGCACGTGTAATTTTCTTTGTCTCGAAACTCCTTTATCTCAGCCATTGAAATCTTATTTATCTCTCACATACCTCTTCTTCCAAAAACGGGCTTTGTCACCATTCCTAGAGGAGAATGGGTTGAGGAGAATTTAGAGAAGAGTGGCAGGGGAACGTGCTTGAACAATTTGGTCCTCTAAGGGGTGGCCCAGCCATGCGTCCCTTGTGGCACTCATTGGGTTTGCACTATAGGCTGTTGGTTTTGGCACGAGGTCGGATCAGTAAGCACTTTGTGGGTCCTGCATTAACGCATCTAAGTTCCATTCTTTTGTATAGTTTGTCTCATCACTGAATGAAAAGAACATTTAACTTATTGGAAAAAAACAACCAACCTCATCTTTACAAGTCTTTTGCTCGAAAGAACGTGAAGTTCTTTTGGTGTATGATAGGACATTCAACCTGAGTCTTTTGAGGGTCTTTTTTTTTTTTTTTCAGTTACATCACTGTTGGTCGCTCACTTGTTCCACCTCCCTCCTTCATCCCCAAGCCGTCAGTTCTACTCCTTATCTTTCTTTTTTCTTTTAATAGTCCCATCATTCTCCCAGCCACCCAGAATTAAAACCTTGAGTCATGTTACACAGTGTGTGTGTCACCTCCAACATCTGTCAGTGGCCAAGTCTTGTAGATTCTGAATTGCTCTTCGTGTTTTCCCCCATTTACACAAGAATGTAAACATGTTTTCATGTTCCCTGGTACCCCTAGCCCCACCTCAAACAACCCGTATCACACTGATGCAAGCTAGAATTTGAATTTTGAGTTATTATAGCTATGTCTTCTTTGATCTTCGGTTTTCTTGTTTTTTAAGACAACGCATGTCGTACCTTTACTCACCTATCTCTTGTAGCAGCTCCTGAATTTGCTTTTCCTCTTATTTAACAACTTCCTCTAAAAATCTTCAGTGTGAGCCTTTATGTGGGAAATGCTCTGAGGCCTTGTAAGCCTGAGCATATATGTATTTTTTATCATGCCCTTCCATTTAAATGACGATTTGGCTGGCTTCAAAGTTCTTCTCTTTCAGATTTAGAAAATGTTATTTCATATTTTCTTTCCTTCAGTGTGTTGTTAAAACATCTGATGTCATTTTGATTCTTATTGCTTTGTATGCTGTCTGCCCTTTCTCTGTAAGAGGCTTTTAGAATGCTCTTGTTTATGTTCTTAAATAGCACACTAATCTGTCTAGATGTTGGTTTTTCTGTAGTCTCTCCTTGGAGCTCATTCAATCTGAGGTCTTCCCTCTTTCTTTAATTCTGTGGACTGGTCTTCTCTGAGTTGGAATTGACTTGAAGACAACGGGTTGGTTTGGTCTTTATTATTTCTACACGTACTTCTTCCTTTTCTCTTTTATTTTAACTTATTTCTAGGTTTCCTAATACCTGGATGTTGGCACTTCTACTCGTCCTTACTTCTAAATTTTATTTCATATGTTCTATTTCTTTATCCTTCTCTGCTTCCTTCAGGGAGAGTTCCTCAGTTTCATCTTCCAAACACTAATTTGTATCTGTATCTGTTCTACTGTCCGTCTCACTGTTGTACTCTTTGGTTCAACTATTCTAGCTTCAAATCAATATTTCCACTCTATTCTTGTTATACTTTCTTGTTCTTGTTTTATATTGATAATATCCCCTTATTTCTTGCATAACATTTTTCATGTTTATGTTAAATTTTTGGTCCATCTTTTCCAATACTTCTGCTTCCTGTAGACTCTACCAAAGAGCTCCTCCCTTCAGAGTCTCACCATCTAACCCCCAGCAGCAGTAGCTCTGGGTGGAGACTCTCTCCTTAACACTGCAGCTAGTCAGTCCCACTGCTTCCCTCAGTTTCTTACGTGATGTGTGATTCAAGGCTTCTGCACTCCCCTGATTTACTCCTGGGGACACTTGCACTAGCTGTCTGAGTCTACCAGTTGGGAGCAGGCACTGTTTGCCCCAAGGCAATTATGGAGAGAAGAACAGTGGTTTTTTTTCCGAGGTCAACCTTCTGCTCCATGCCACAGCCACCTGCTCCCCACATAGGCCTGGCTCTCCAGTGGTTGCTCACAGTTGCCTCCTGTCCTGATGTTTTTCTTCTATATTTCCTGCAGGGTTGATCTAGGACAGCAGTTCTCAGAATGTGGCCCCGGGATCAGTAGCAGCAGTATAAGCTAGGAACTTGTTAGAAATGAAATGTTTGAGTCTTATCCCATCTACTGAATCAGAGACTCTGAGGGTAGGGCCCAGCAATCAGTGTTTTAAGAAGCCTTCCAGGTGATTCTGATGCATGCTTAAGTTTGAGAATGATTGATCTGTGGGGATGGGTATATTCTGTAGATTCTACCTTTTTAATATCTCCTCCATTCATTCTCTTCTTTCTCCTCCTGCAGTTGCTACCCTGTTTCATTACTTCAGTATATACTTGCAGTAGTTTTCCAAGTCTCTGATTCTGTCTCCATCACATCCCATACACAAAAGTTGACTTACTATTGCTAAAACATGGCTCTTATTCTACCCTTCTATGGAAATCTTCAATTATTCTGACTACATTAATTATAAATTTCTTACACTGGAACTCAGGGCTCTTTATAAACTCCTCTCAACCTACACGTTCAAGTTCTGTCTCCATTTCACCCCTTTGTGACAGCCAAAACAAACCCTCTGTGTTCTGGCTCTTGGCCAAGCCCCTCCTGCTACACAAAATGGCTATCATCGCATCTTCACAGGATGAAATCCTGCCCACCCTTCAAAGTCCATTGTAAATTCGTCCACCTGTGTGAAGCTTACGATTGAATTTAATCTTTCTCCTCTTGGGACCCTCAGCACTTTGGCCTTTTCTTGTCATATTTATAGATTTTTGTACACTTCTTGGCTTTGAGGAAGCAGTGACTTATTCATATTGTTATCCAATTCAATACCTATCTCATTGCCTTATGCATAATAGGTGTTCAGTAGTGAATGAATTGAATCATTTCTTGAATAAATAAACTAATGAATGAATACTTGCCAGTGAAGAGTACTGAATAAAAAGTAGGCTAATATTAGTCTTTTGATGCTTATAAAAAGACACATTATTTGCTAATAAATGCTGGTTTGTTTTCCAAGTTTTGTTATTACAATATAAGCCAATTTGTATTAATTTTAGCTGTTACTAGTTAAAATTAATAGAACACCAACCAAGAGTTTAAAATGTTCTCAAGGGCCTCTGAGCACTTGTACATAATTAAAAATATACTTTAATTAAAAAATCTAAAAATGGAAAGAAAGACTAATCCTGGAAGAGCAGCTCTCATACGTTTTTAACTAGCCCATTTAGATTATGCTTACTTATGAGTATGTAATTTCTCCAAGAGTCCAAATGATAGTTACATTAAAATACGTTGTCATCGAGTCAATTCTGACTCACAGCTACCCTGTAGGAAAGAGAAGAACTGCCCAGTAGGATTTCCAAAGCTGTAATCTTTCAGGAAGGAGCCCTGGTGGCACAGTGGTTAGAGTGTTTGGCTGTGTTTGTTTAATCTTTACAGAGGCAGATTGCCACATCTTTTCCCGTAGAGAGGCTGGTGGGTTCGAACTGCTGACCTTTCAGATAGCAGCCAAGCTCTTAACCATTGTGCCACCAGGGCTCCTGATAGTTATAAGTGAAAGATACCCCAAATACTATATTACTAGTCTTAAAATTTCTAGTTCATTTTTTCATTCTTTATTTGCAGATTATTTACAATGAATGGACGTCTTTTGGACAACTCAAAGGATTTGCAAGACCATCATTTTTATGTTGCAGCAGGACTGGAGCCTTTTAAATATTTTCCTTATTGGAAGTCCTCGAAGGTCCCCAGTGAGATCCAACAGTAAGCATAGCTTATACCTTTCTTTCCTGTATGTTGGTAAAATTTGTCTTTTTTCTCCCCAGTACTTCTCCCAAATATGGTCAGTTCAGCTATTTATTCTAAAGATTGATATTCTTATTTTTATAAATGACACAATTTTGGATTTTTAAAATTAGGCATGGAGTAACTTTTTTGGGGGATATATTCACAAAGGCAGTAAGATCTTATATTGAGTACATTATCCTTCCTCTGGGGATACTGGGAGTCTTAGAGATCAAAAGTCCAAACGTTAAGTTCACAGTGCTAAATCTCAGTGTAGCGTCTGTTAGGAAAACCGAAGATGCTCAGAACATGAACGTACTATTTTTACTTGCTCTTAGTTTCTATTTAGTGCTCTCCAAATTCTCCCACCAAAAGTTCTCCAATCCCTGATGTCGTATGTTTTGTAATTATTATTTTTACACCCTTTGGTGATATAAACACTCAATAAGATAGGAATAGAAGGGAAACTCCTCCATCTGACATAGGGCATTTATGAAAACCCCACTGCTAACATCACACTCAACAGAGAAAGATGGAGAACTTCCCTCTTAAGATCAGGGACAAGACATGGATACCCACTCTCACCACTGCTATTCAATATTGTTATTCTTACTTGATCCGTCCTTAAAGCCTAGAGAATGACTTTATGAGAAGGAGGCTCTAGGGGTTTCTGAAAAGCTTTGGAGTTTCAAGTCATGTCATTCTTTCTTTTTTAAAAACCTTTACTATGGAAATATTCAAACACATACAGAAGTAGAGAGAATGGTTTAATGAACTAGCTAAAAATGATTACAGTTTACCAATCTTGTTTCATATATCTCTTCACCAATTTTTTTTTTGGAGGGAGCATCTTTTAAAGTAAACGTCATATCATATATTTTAACAGCAAATACTTCAATATGTATCTCAAACAGGTAAGAATTTTTTATTTTGGAAAATGTCATGATCATATCTAACAACATTAACAGTAATTCCACAATATTATCTAACACCTAGACCATGTTCAAATTGCCCCAATCCTTCTGAATATCATTATACAATTGTCCTAGGGTAAAATCACCACAAAGTTATAGTAAAGCAAAAAAGAAAGATTTTATTCAGCATATGTTCCAAGGGGCAAAAATGGGAAATGAACAAGCGTGCTGTCAGAGCCACGTCTGCCCAAGTCCAAGGAATGTTACAGAATAAGCAAAAGTGAGAAATAGCAGTCACGCTACCAGAGCCATGTCTGTCCTAGTGCAAGGAAACGTTACAGAATCATCAGGATATATTAACATTACAAATGGATAAAATCTTTGAAAGCTTCACCTTTTCACAGATTGGCTAAAAACTGCTAAATCACTGTGACTCTACATTTTGAATTGTTTTTCTTAGTAACCATTGGTACAATCAGGAGGGTCTTCATTGGTCCAACAAATCTTACTATTTACTGAACTCTAATAAAAAGAGATGATTGGAAAATATGTAGGTCTTTTGTGCTCTGTTTATGATTTGTTTATGTGAAAATATCCCTAAAAGAAGTTTTCCAAGATTGTCCTAGCTATTTTCTTCATACATCAGGGCCCAGTTGATGTGTCCTTGTGAGTCCATCTCCAGCTGGGTCACACTCTTTATACTCAAACCGAAAAAAAAAAAAAAAAGCTGTTGCCCTGGAGCTGATTCTGACTCAGTGATCTTATCAAACGGAGTAGAACTGCCCCATAGGGTTTCCAGGGAATGGCTGGTGGATTCAAACTGCCAACCTTTCGGTTAGTAGTTGAGTTCTTAACAACTGTACAACCAGGTCTCCTTTGAAAGTAAACCTCAAGGACAGGGAATAATGGCTCCAATTTTAATCTCCTAAACCACAATAGGTTTGTTTGAATCAGGATCCAAATGGGGTTCACATGTTGCATTTGGTGAAGATCAAAATTGAGTTTACATGATCTGCTGATAGGCCACTCTGATCATATCTAGGGATGTGTCCTCTGTATGTGAGGGGCATGTGGTGAAAAGTAATCGAGAGGTGGGATCTGGAGGACTGTCTTGAAGATGTTTTCTTCCATTTCACTGAAACAAACAAAAGAGAAATTCCATATTTGGAATATTCAGTGTCCACCCATTATAGTTCTTGGCTTCTTATATAGAAGGAGAGAAGAATGAGATTGATTTTTCAAAAAATTGTTTCTGAATAATTGTTATCCTTTCTTCCCATCTCTGCCATGATGCCCACGGCCTCTCTCTTCACTCTGCAGCAATTTATGTGTTGTCTAAACAAAATCAACCCTCCAAGAGTGACTTCTGGTTGATTCTCTTCTATTTTGATAAACAATGCTTATCTGAGATTGCTATTTGTGTTTTTTGGGGAAAGAAAAGAATTTTTCAATTTTATTGTTGCTAGGCCTTTATGTGAGTTTCTCTGAGAGTCTCATTTGGAACATTTGTTTTCTTGAGTTCAGTTGTGAAGGCTCAGAGAACAAAAAGGGATAGTTTAGGGAGAAAACAATTTTGTTCAAGGAACTTTTAGTGTCCTTTCCTCAATTTAAAGGAAAAGTGGGAAAACAAATACATTTCCTCTTTTTCCCTTCCTGAATATACCAAATAAGTGCATAAGAAACTTAAGTGAATGTAGTAAAAATTTTGTTTCTAATCAAAATAGTGACTTAATTCTGTAAAGAATAACAGAAAAAGTAAAAATTTATTTCATTTTCCCTAGTATTTTCAATGAGATTTTTGTCCAGCAACTTGAGAGTTATCAGAAAGTTTTCATTCTTATTTTGACTGAAGTCTGCATTTTGGCAAATGCAACAAGGTCAGGTGAGAAATCCTCTTTTAACTGTTTGCATTTAAGTAGGGTCCAAGACTACCACGGGTCTGTCAGTTTGTCTTACTGTGGGGGCTGCGTGTTGCTGCGATGCTGGAAGCTATGTCACCAGTATTCAAATACCAGCAGTGTCACCCATGGCGAAAAGGTTTCAGCTGAGTTTCCAGACTAAGACTAGGAAGAAGGACCCGGCGGTCTACTTCTGAAAAGAATTAACCATTGAAAACCTTATGAATAGCAGTGGAACATTGTCTGATATAGTGCCGGAAAATGAGCCCCCCAGGTTGGAAGGCACTCCAAAGACGACTGGGGAAGAGCTGCCTCCTCAAAGTAGAGTCGACCTTAATGACGTGGATGGAGTCAAGCTTTCGGGACCTTCATTTGCTGATGTGGCACTACTCAAAATGAGAAGAAACAGCTGCAGACATCCATTAATGTACGAAGTATGAATCTAGGAAAATTGGAAATCGTCAAAAATGAAATGGAATGCATAAATATCTATATCCTAGGCATTAGTGAGCTGTAATGGACTGGTATTGGCCATTTTGAATCAAACAGTCATGTGGTCTATTATGCCGGGGATGACAACTTGAAGAGGAATGGCTTTGCATTCATCGTCAAAAAGAACATTTCAGGATCTATCCTGAAGTACAATGCTGTCAGTGATAGGATAATATCCATACACCTACAAGGAAGACCAGTTAATATGACTGTCTTAGTCATCTAGTGCTGCCATGACAGATATACCACAAGCAGATGGTTTTAATGAAGAGAAGTTAATTTTCTCATAGTCAAAGTAGGCTAAAAGTCCAAATTCAGGGCGTCGGTTCTAGGCGAAGTCTTTCTCTCTCTGTCGGCCTTTTCATCAATGTTCCCCCGGACTAGGAGCTTCTTGGTGCAGGGACCCCAGTCCAAAGGACGTGCTCTGCTCCCAGCACTGCTTTCTTGATGGTATGAGGTCCCCTTGTCTCACTGCTCACTTCTGTCTTCTATATCTCAAGAGATTGCCTCAGGACACAATCCAGTCTTGTAGATCAGGTCCTGCCTTACTAACACAACTGCCACCCATCCTCCCTCATTAACATCACAGAGGCAGGTTTACAACATACAGGAAAATCACGCAGTACTCATGGCCTAGCCAAACTGATACACACATTTTTTGGGGGACATAATTCAAACCATGACAATGACTATCATTCAAATTTACCCACCAACCACTAAGGCCAAAAAATGAGGAAATTGAAGATTTTTATCAACTTCTGCCATGTGAAATTGATCTAATATGCAATCAGGATGCATTGATAATTACTGGTACTTGGAATGCGAAAGTTGGAAATAAAGAAGGACTGGTGGATGGAAAATACGGCCTTGGTGATAGAAATGATGCGGGAGATCACATAACAGAATTTTGCAAGACCAACGACTTCTTCACTGTAAATACCTTTTTCAACAACATAAACGGCAACTATACACATGGACCTCGCCAGATGGAATACACAGGAGTCAAATCGACTACATCTGTGGAAAGAGACAATGGAGAAGCTCAATATCCTCATTCAGAACAAGGCCTGGGGCTGACTTCGGAACAGACGATCAATTGTTCATAAGCAAGTTCAAGTTGAAGCTGAAGAAATTTAGAATAAGTCCACGAGAGCCAAAGTACAACCTTGAGTATATCCCACCTGAATCTAGAGACCATTTCAAGAATAGATTTGACTCATTGAACACTAATGACTGAAGACCAGACGAGTTGTGGAATGACATCAAGGACATCATACATGAAGAAAGCAAGAGGTCATTAAAAAGACAGGAAAGAAAGAAAAGACCAAAATGGAAGTCAGAAGAGACTCCGAAACTTGCTCTTGAACGTCAAGTAGCTAAAGCAAAAGCAAGAAAGGATAAAGTAAAAGAGCTGAAAAGAAGATTTCAAAGGGCAGCTTGAGAAGACAAAGTAAAGAATTATAATGACATGTGTAAAGACCTGGAGATAGAAAACTAAAAGGGAAGAACACGTTCGGCATTTCTCAAGCTGAAAGAACTGAAGAAAAAATTCAAGCCTCGAGTTGCGATATTGAAGGATTCTAAGGGGAAAATATTAAACGATGCAGGAAACATCAAAAGAAGATGGAACGAATATACAGAGTCACTAGACCAAAAAGAACTGGTCAGTGTTCAA